GTGTGTGTGTATATATATATATATATATATATACACACACTGAAAAAAAAAATGCTGTTGAACCAACAGCATAGTCTAATTGAAAATAATTTTATTAATTCAATGACATTATTAATAAAACAGTATATCATGCTCTTGTTTTAATAATCAAGATCTTTGTTTCGTTTTCAATAAACGTTTTTTCGATTAAATAAATATATGATTTTTTGACGCAAAATAGACGTTGTTAGATATTTGAATAAAATTTTTCGTTTTGTATACTCATATACTATTTTTCAACGAATAAAATCTGTTTTGTATTATACAAACGTCATAAAAGCGAATAAAATTAACATATTATATTATGGTATAAAAATTATAAAAATTAAAACGTTTATCTCGTAAACTTATACTATCACTTTTATACTATCTTTAAGTATAATAAACATTTAATATATCATCATGTGTTTATTGAATTGTATGACTATTTATATTTTTTTCTAATATCAAATATTAGTTTTAAAGCTAATGATATTGTTGTAGAAATACAAAAGCATGAATACACGAGTTGAAGATAAGTCTGGAAAAGAATTGGTCGACACAATCAGCAAAAATGTGGGTAGAATGTTGCGTCGGAAGATGGATGCAGTCACCTGCATTCGAATGGCAGCCGAGAAGGCTGCAGAGAACTGGGACCCATCTTTTGTCGATGGCAACTTCACTTACGTTTCCGCCAAGTGCAGCCCTGTCATCGAACGTGACTCATCAAACAAGACGACATCAACGAAAAAGAAAAACGTTGTAAGAGAAAAGTGAAGGTGTATAGGTGAGCAATTTGTTCTGCCTTGCCGTGTTTTTTTTTCTTCAAATTGCGTCCGGTGTGAACTTGTCACGGAATTATTGGAAGTAAAAGTTTACAGGTCTCAGTAACTTAAGCATGAATGATGCCTATGCAACATTGTTAATAGCTTCTTAAAGAACTTATTTTAATTATAATAATTATTAGTTTAATCATACAATACAATACAAAGTAGAAGCATTTAGAAAAGCATTTTAGAAAATTATATGCTCAAAATTTTTATATTATAAAAATTATTTAAAAAAAACAAAGTTGCAAATTAAGTATTGAAAATAATAAAGTAATGTAAATTTATTTTTTACAAATAATTAAATCTAACAAACATTTTAGTAATTATACTTTTCCTTCTAGTTCTTTATAAAATTTGATTTTTTTCTATAAAATGTAACGTTAAATAAAATTGGTTAAATTCGGTCACTTTTAATTAACTATTAATTATTAAATTAAATTAATTATAAAATTAAAAAGGAATATTCTGTATGTTGATTACATTACGTTTCTCTCAATTGCAATTTTTATCAGCGCAAAATTCTTCAATTGCACAATTATTTTTTAGTGACCTTATTTAAATTACATTGTGAAATACATTATTATGCCAAGAATTATTAAGCGAAATAAATCGATGAAAAGATATTGCAAATTAATTACAGAAACATGGAACTGACTTCAGACTTGCATTTCTACAATATCGCAGTGAACACAAACTACTCGTCAGTTCATATACCGACTAATGTATACGATCTCACGGACGAAGTGAAGGAGGACATCATGAAAACTGAACCACTAGACGATATGTTTCGTCAAAATTACGAATCTGATCCGGCGTTGTCGTGGCAATATTTTGGTTCGGTCACTGGTATGTTTCGGCAATATCCTGCTATGGAGTGGCGAACGAATGCTGAAGATGATGACGATGATGATGATGATAACGACAGTGATGACAATAATAAAATCGATGAGGATGATAATAAAGATGCAAATCAAAACGATGACACGAAGAACGAGGTTAACAATAACGACGATGACGCTGACGATGATGATGATGATGATGATGATGATGATGATGATGATGATGATGACGATGATGATGATGATGATGATGATGATGATGATGATGATGGCTCTTCTGCTGATCTGTATGATTGCAGGGTACGTAGTTGGTTCATCGAAGCGGCCACATGCAGTAAGGATATGGTGATCCTACTGGATGTCAGCGGCAGCATGGCCGGCATGGGAAAGACGATTGGTACGAAAAATTGGCTATTAAAAAAAAATTGGCTATTTAAAAAAAAAACAGAATTGGAAATGTACTTAAAGCTTTTACATGTCATAGAAAATTTTAAACCTTTGAATATAAACAAGATAATTAAAATTAAGAAATGTAGTAGCGTTTTGCTAAAATAAAAATGTTTATAATTTTTAATTTGATAAATTCATATTTGTGATATTTTTTTAACTTGTTGCGATCATTGAGTTTATAATTAAGAAGTAGTATAATATTATTTTAAATTATATAAAAATATTTCTATTGTTTTGTTTCAAATGTTATGACAGCGAAGACAACGGTGAACGCGATCCTGGATACTTTATCGAACAATGACTACGTCACGTTACTGAAATATAACAATGAAACGACTGAGCTGGTGCCATGTTTTAAAGATATGCTGATCCAGGCTACTCCGGAGAATCTTGATACGTTCAAAAAATCCATGGACAACATCAAGATGATGGAAGTTGCCAATTTCACAGCGGCCTTCACCAAAGCGTTCAGTCTACTCAAAAGTTATCGAAAGATACATGATTGTGACGCTGACACATCATGTAATCAACTCATTATGCTTGTTACTGATGGTGTTCCTGGAGGAAAACTGGGAGAAAATCTGAAAGAGGTATTGCAATCATCATTACATAAACTTTGATTATTTCCTCGCTTACTGAAACTTTATGGTGATAAAATTGTTAAAAATAAATAGAATATAAAAAAGACTCCTATAAATGAATCTAAAGCAGAAATAGGGGATGCCTATATACAGAGCCGACATAAGCTGTTAATGTGTGATTATATATTGTGATTATATATTAATAAATTAATAATATAACAATAATAGACGTTTCGACACATATGTATATACATACACATATTACAATATACATATATATATGTATATTCTCGAATCCCCACGATCCGTACTCTAGAGAGATGATGGTCCTATTCTCTCGATGGAACTATAGATCTGAACTCAGCCCTTCGTGTCGGTTTTATACAGGCATCCCCTAAAATTGTTAAAGTATCTGCTAAAGCATTGTGAATAAACATAAAGCTAATTCTGTTTTTTTCTCTCTTTTTGTTCTAAAGAAACTTTTTACAAGTTTATAGAAATAATAATAATAATCCAAGATTTATATTGTTTATATGAAACACTTTTTTTTATATGAAACATTTTTCTAAGTGGATATTACTGAATGTTTTGATTTTTCATTTTTCCAGGTATTTAAAAAATGGAATTGGAGCGAGAATGGCACTCACATACCAGTGCGAGTGTTTACATATCTCATAGGCAAAGAAGTAACAAACATAACCGAGGTACAATGGATGGTAAAGTCATGTTTGAACCACGGTGATTTCGAACATGTGCAGACACAGGAGGAAGTACGCGAGCGAGTGCTGAAGTATATTTCGGTCGTAGCACTGCCCTTGGTACTTCAGAGTGTGAAACATCCTATTGTTTGGACACATGCTTATGCTGACGTTACGGTAGGAAAATTAAAATTTTAATTTTAATCTAATTCTTTTTTAATCTAATTCTTTTTTATAATTCAATGAACAAAACAAATTTTTTAAACAATATGCGATAAATTCGAAATACTTTGCAAGAAGTATATTGCATAATTGTTATTTTATCGTTTATTTATTATTGTTTTATGGATATTTCTATCATTTCATTATTATTGTTTATTATTGTTTTAAATATGACATAGATTTTATATTATAGACAATATTCAATTCATACTATATACATAAATATTCAATATAAATTCAAAGAAAAATATTCAATTGTATAATTGTATCATTCAATTGGATGTAAAGGAAATTTATCTGAAAATTATTACAATTCGTGGTAGGAAGAGCTTAAATTTTTAAAAGAATAATAAATTTTTTCGTTATAGTGTTATTGTAAATATTAATGCTAATGGATAAGAATTAGCGTTATAATTTAATTTTAATTTTGTTTACTGATAAAAAATATATTTTGACTCAAATTTGAGTCATCTTCAATGGTACAAATATGTAAATATATATCCTTGAGTATATTTTAATTGGTGAATCTAATCATAAAAAATAATGATAATATATTACTTACCATCGGTTAATCAAGTGAAGCTAATTATTTTCTAAAAAAATTTTCAATGTGAGATAGCACATTTAAAACATTCGTATGAAGTAAAAAAGAAAAAATAGTTATCATCAGAGACACAGATAAGATGATGCAAAGAAAGCAATATAAATCTCATTAGTACAATGTAATACAAATAGTACATTGTAATGAGAGAAAGTTACATCTCCAATGTAAGGCAACAACTGAGAATAATTTTTAAGCTTGATAAGAAACAACCAAAACAAAAACAAGTTTTTTGTCATTTATTATCTTATTGTTAAAAACAAATTTATAATTGCATTTGACATATTATCATTGTTTTTTATGATTGGATTTTACTAATTGGACTCAAAGATATACTTACGTATTTATACCATCGAAGATGACTCAAATTTGAATCGAAACGTTTGGCACTTTTTATCAACAAAATTAAAACATATAATTGCGCACCGTTTACAGCATTGATTCTCATTAGCCTTACTATTGTTATCATATCGAGAATTTTTTTTCCAATATGTAAATATGATTGTTACTTATATATTATTTTTTAAGTTATATAATCACAATTTGCTTACTGCTACTAATGACTTTTGCCTGTCTTTCAATGTTTTCAATATTTTTTTTTTTGATAATCATCATTTTTTATAAAAAAGCAGATATAAAAAGAACAAAATAAACTTACGTAAATCCTATTAGAATCCGGCACTTGCCACTTGGCTGTGGCTGGTGATGAAGTACGCTCCACAAAAGTCGCGACTGCTAAAGCATCTGAAGGGAAAACAGCTGGGCATACGATCAAACGAGGACGCAATCTACATACAGCAGGTTTAGATACGATCGAGAAAGAATCCTCGCTGCCTGTCCCCAGGCTTTTCGTTTAGCACTTCGTTTAGATCTATATCGCATTAATCTATATCACCCTTGGCACATGCTGCTGTATTTAATCTCTCGAACACCAAACACGCAAAGGAACACACAAAAATCACGAGTATAACGTTGCTTAAATTCCTTCTCCTAAAAATGAATATTAAAAGATTTGCTTTGAATTAGTAGATTTTTTTTCCATTTTGATCACTCTGTTTGGTGTAAAATCAAGCGAGATATTTGAAAAGATAAAATGTTGTTAAATAAATTTTTATTGGTTTTATAATAAACCTTAATTATATATAAATAAAATATAATTTAGGATCTCTCAAATACCTCGCTCGAATTTAAAGTAAAAGGCTTATTATCTAGAGGTATTAGCCGACAATTCATTAAAGTGTCGATTCGGAGAGCTGAGCAAATATATATCTGCAAGTTAATTAATCGCTAGATATATTGGGATATCGCTAATCGATTCACTGAATGATTTCCGAGCGATTAGCTGTCATTAGTGGGCTAAGAACTAAATACCTTGAGCTAGGTTTAGTATCCTGTTGATTGAGCTTTATCGAGTTTATTTTTATTCATTTTCCATTTATTAGATCAGTGTTAGCTGCTGCACAAATTCGGGATTAAGCGGACAACCAGAGGACAAACTCGCTTTTTTAAGAGTTTACCACTCGACGACAAGATTTTAGTTGAAAAATATCATGCGCAATGAAAATTTGCATTTATGCAATCAATTTCCTAATTTGAAACTTTGATTGTACCCTTAATTTCGAGTACACACACTCTGTATACCTCGTCATCGAAATGACCGAGGGCGAATTAGATAGCGTGGCCTTTCGCTTAGCGACGTGTTCGCTCTTTTTAGTAAAATATATAAAGACGATAATGTCACTGAGATGATTCTTCAATTTCGCATTTTGCTCTGCGTAGCTGCACAAGAGCGAAAACATCGAGGAGGACTCGTCTATCCTGAACACCACCAAGTGGCAGGAATACAGGCTGCTGACTTCCGTTGGTACGCCGGTATTCGGCCATAGGCGTAGTCACGACAATATGACCGGTACAATAAATGACACGTTGCTCGGCGTGGCGGGTACAGACGTACCGATCGACGACATCCGCAGGCTTACATTGCCATACAAGCTCGGCGTGAATGGCTACGCCTTCATCGTGTCCAACAACGGCTACGTGATACTACATCCGGATCTCCGGCCGGTCTACAAAGGTCGGCTTAAATTAAATTATAACAGCGTCGATCTTACGGAGGTAGAGATACTCGACGACGGACGCGGGCCAAGGTAACATTTTCGACAATACAGAAATAGATGAATATATACAGAATCAATTATTAAATAAAAAAAGACATTTTTTGTATTTTTCGTTTAATCGTTGCGTTTTCCTTCTGTCGTCGTCTTTCATTTGAAGCGTCTACTCTTTAAAAACGAGCACAGGAACCCAGGCCCCGAAATATTAGCACTAAGAGAGGCGCTGGTAAGCCATAAGCAAGGTAGCATGAAAGGGATTCCCGTGAAATTGCATTATGATGACAATCGTCGGGTCAACCTTGAGAGACGTGATTATTTTTATGCTCCCTTGCCTGATACGCCATTTACCCTCGCAGTCGTTATACCCAACTATGGAAATACTTGGATTAAGGTAGGCAGTAACGAAATGGCAATTCCGTTATCTTTAATGAATTAAAAATTATTTATGTATATAATTAATTAATACAGTTATTAACCTCTTAGCTATGGCGGGACTTTTCGCGGCATTGTATTTTCTCTACGGCATCTCTTTCGACGCGGATTGCGCGTAAATAATGTCGTACTGCGATTTGTGTCTGGTGACGCTTTCCACTATGAAATTACGTCAGAATAGAGTTATATATAAATAAATTATATATAAATATTATATATAAATTATATATAAATAAATTATAATTTATTTATACATTTTCATGTAAAGATCGTACGCTGTCGATATCTCTGACACGAGTACTTTAACGAGCACGAGTTACTCTTATAGCTTTGATATTGTTAGGAAACATGGTTTGGGCCAAACAAATGTGAAACAAAACAAATAACGCGCACGGTCAGGCGATAATTTACACATATCTAAAGACAGAGTGAGTCCCTTCAGTGACGTACCGTTCAAAAACAGAACAGCCATGAAAGCCACTATAGTGCACGTACTGTTCAAAAAGATGATATACGCGAAAGCCACTATAATGGCGTACCGTTCAAAAAGATAACATACGCGAAAGCTATTATAGTGGCGTACAATACCTAAAAAGTAAACAATTACATACAAAATTATCTTAAATAATTATACATAATTATTCGCAGAATTGGGTAGTAATTAGTTTTTTTTTTTTTTATTATGCTGCTAAATCCACCAATAGGTAGTAACTAAGTTAAAAATTCTTAAGTTAACTTTTAAGTGAATTAATTTATTAACTTTAAATAATTATTTTTAAAATATATAAACTTTAACTTATTAATTTTTCTTCTAAATTAAAAATTCATTTACGTAGAAGAAAAAATTGTAAAAGAAAGAGCACATTCCCATTTAAAAAAATAATATCTCTTTGTTATTTCATATAAACTTAATTTACAAATAAAATATTAAATTTATTTAATGGCCCACTTATCATTATTTTGTTATTTAGAATATTTTTATTTAAAAATTATATTTTAATAAATAGTACTTTTTAAAATTAATTTTTAATTTAACATAAGTTAATTTAATTTTAATGCAATTTTTAATTAAATTAATTTATAAGTCACTTTAACTTTAACTTAATTTAATTGAAAACTAACATTAGCTTACCCAACTCTGATTATACTAATAATGATTATGCTAATAATAGAATAATAATAGAATAATAGAATTGCGCTCAAATAATCGCATGCTAAACTCTTTCAGGTCGGCGACGAGATCCGCAGAAATCAAAACATGAACATAAACGTGTCGGATTACTTTGTGGGGGATCGTTGGCGCGTGCACCCAAGCTGGGTGTATTGTCGTTACCATTATCAAGAGAGACATGAATTTGACAGTCCAGAAGACGAGTTGCTCCATTTTTTGGCACTGATAAGCCAACCTGGCTGGCGTTGGTTAGAGCAATACCAGGCTTATCCATTTATAGATGAAGACGATCAAGAGCCCGACTGCGGCAGACAAACGCTCAAGCACGACGATTACTATTGTAACAAGGAACTTATGCAGCTACTTGTGTTCGATGCCAAGGCGACAAATAACAGTTTCCAACGCAACCATATAACAGATTTGCCTCTAAAGGCTCAGAATTTAGCACGTTCTTACGGTATCTTTGTAAGATTCATCGCGACACAAAGTGGCCTTACTAGATGGCATCATTTTGGTAAGTTAGCAGATGCAGACGATGGTATCATCTTTGGCAATTTTCATAAACGAGCGGTAAACGAGCCCTGGTACAAAGGTGCAATCTTTCAGAATGAGTTAGATTCCAACAGCATTTTTGTAACCGGTAAGAATCATATTATTTTTAAGCAGACTAGAATTTTTTATAAATATTTTATATTTAATATTTTTATATAAATGTTCTCTGAAATTATTTTAACATGATTTCTTATTGAAAAATTGATGTTAATATAATTAATGCCAAATTATCATTTCATAAACAGATAAAAAAATGACCAAGTATAGGCATCCATTGCTACCTTGAAAAAATATTAAAAAACAAAATATGTTATTTAAATTTATAAATTAAAAAAAGATTTATATAATAAAAAAGGATTTAATTTTCTACATATTCTATCATACTGAATGTACTCGTGCCACAGAGAACATTCGTATGACATTTGCCTAGTATATTATAACTATATATTTTTAGAACACATTCAGAATATTTATATCATTCATTTATATGTTATATTATTTATCATATATTCTCAGGATACTTAAAGTATTCACACTATGTCATACCTTTATCAGAGTTGAGAAATAACTTGTTACTTATTACTCGTTATTACTTGTAACAAAGTTACAGTTAGAGTTACTTTTTTTTCAATAACTATAACTTAACTTCATTCCTTTTTTCCATTTATAACTGTAACTTAACTTAATTACATTTTTTTAGTAATTAATAACTAATTTAATAATTATTTTCATCGTTACTTTATATATTTCAAACTTATTTGTCATTTAGCGCTTATGTCATTCGATTATGTCATTCTATCCTTGTTTTATATTTAATGATAAAATGACACAATGGTTATGTTCAGAGAAAGCAACTGTTGTAAAAATCTTTGATATGATGGATTTTTGTTAGTTTCTTCCTTAGTTTCTCATGGATCTAAATGTATAAATTAAAGACATTTAAAAATCTTACACAGTTGCAAAGCTTTTGAGTTGAACACAGCCTATACTAATAGCACTAACAGTCTCGTTCTCATACTTTTAAGCTATGTTCGAAAACATTTAAATATTCCATATATCATTTTATCTTTGTTTTTCACCAAATGTTAAACAAGAATAAAATGATGTGTAGGAGCACTCGGATGATGTTTTCGAACTTAGTCTTAATGTGATTGATTAGATGTAAAATAAAAACCAATCAAATTCGACTGCTATAATAAATTTAAAGTTTTAAATCTCGCTTAATGTCGTTGCAGTCAGTCCTTAGAAATATATTACAAGAAGTACATTAAAAATATAAGATTTTTATATTTAAAATAGCACAATATATTTAAAATGCACAAAACATTACAGGAAGTAAACTGAGAAATAACTAAAAAGTAACTCGTTACTTTTTAAGTAACTATAACTGTAACATGTTATTTTTTTAAATCGGTAACTTGTAACGGTAACTACTTACTTTTACAAGATAACTTTCCTCTAACTTTTATATTCTTAGGATCTATTCAAAACATTTACATGATATTATGAAATACATGGATTTTAACGATTTTATCCATTTTTATCCATTTTAGAAAAATCAGGTTTACTCCTGATGGAATAAAATAATATATATAAAGGAATCCAAAAAAATAAAAGGATTAACAATATAAAATAGAACAATTTAATTAATGAAATAAAAAAATATTTAATACAAAAAATTTAGCATTACCAGTGTCTCTTTATTATTACATCGCTCATAATGTTTGTGGTGATATCTTTACTAATACAATATATTATACAAGATGAAATACTTTTATAGTTCCATGGGAAGCAGGTGCGAATGCGATAGTGACGGTTTCAATGAGTGTATCTCCTAGGGATGGCGGCAAGAAAGCGCCAGCGGCGGTAGTGGGTTTTCAAATGCCAATGATAGATCTATATAAGCGATTCATTAAGTTGACTGCAAACACGACGAATTCGATGATAAATTGCAGCAATAAATGGATTGATTGCTACCTCTTAGATCAAAATGGTTATGTGGTGATCTCGGACGCACATAACGATACTGGGCAGTTTATGGGCACTCAAGAAGGCCCCGTGATGTTATCCATGATCAAACAGGGTCTCTACAGTCCGGTTGAAATCTATGATTATCAAGCATGGTGTCAAGAGGTTGTAAGTAATGATAAAAATCAAAAGAAGTCAAAGAATATTGAATGTAATGCATCTCTACGTATGAGAATTGAATATATTGCCATACAGTTGAAAATTAAAATACAAAGGAGAATTTTGCATTTAAAAGAATTAACAAGAATTGAAAGTGAAGAGCAAACTATTCTACCAACACACAAACATTATTTAAACGTTGAGAAACATTTAAATATTAAAGTTCATGTCCAAATGTCCAAAGTCCAAAAATCAATGTCCACCTGGTCAAACGTTTGCCCACCGATTATTGTAAAACGTTTGACAAATGGTTATAAAATTCTAAGAAACGTAGCATTTTTGCTATGGAAACAAAAAATTTTACGCATTCAGCTACATATATCATTGAACTTGAAAAATATTAAAATATTACGGTACATAAGCTAAACAAAGAACTTCAAATTTGATTTTTCTCAAATATTTGAAAATTGTATCGAATAATTTTATTATTTTTTAGTGGAGATATAGCCGTATAACTAGTATTGCATTTAGATAACTTAAGATCTAAATAAGATACAACAAATTATATTTAAACTTATTTTAGGTAAGATAAAGATAATTTCAATTAAATTTAACTTAAATTTATCAAGATAAAAAATAAAATTATATCATTTTTCTAGATAATTTTAAAATAATATTGATGTTATTTTAAAATATAATATAATGATGCAAGAAATATAGAATACAAAAACAACATTTTAACAAACTTTTACTATTTATTGATTACATAGCTCAAGTGAGGATGCGAAATGTAATTAATGCAGTTCTTAATATAAATGATTTATATTATTCTAATCATATATGCCAGCCATTCTTTAAATAATTTGTGTGTAGAAAAATATTTGATACGAGATAAATCTAAAATTTAATCGAATTCATACTTATACGTACAAATTTCGTAATTACTTAGCTGGCATCGATTATATGACTGATTATATGTCTATTATATGACTTCCGTATTGTAGATTTTACTATACTTACTATGTTAATTTGGATAATTTGCAAGAAATAACTTCTTTTATTTAAGATAAAGATGAAGATAATATATATTTTAATTATCCAGATAAAGCTAAGGTAAAATTATTTCTTCATTAAGATAATTATCTAGATAATTTTATATAGATAATGGCAAATATTGAATACAATATATTTCAAGCTTGACAAAATCTGAAAAGATTATCTATAAAGATCTTGTTAGCGCTTCATATGGGTACCTAAAAAATCCATCGTGATCAAACTGACATCATTTTAATATAATAACTATGTTATGGCAGAAAAAGTCAATAATGATTTTTAATTAAAATTTAACAATCTTGCAAATCTCAGTAGTGTGGGAATCCATTTTTTCACTATGGAATTACAAGGGTGTATATTGGAAACATCATACATTGATCTAATAAAATATATGTGACATGAATTTATTAAATATATTAAATATTAAAACATAAAACTTTTTCTTTTTTCTCACACAATAGCAGTATTTAAAATAAATGTTACATTTTTAATTATATTTATCGAGAATACTCTTAACAAAAATTAGGAGATTGAAATTAAATTATATACAAAAAGGAATTCATCTATGTCTAGGTAACATAAAAGAATGATTTTGAAAAGTACAATAAATACAAACAAAAGCGATTTCATTGCTCAGACTTTTTTGCATTAAAACTTAGAATAAAAGTATAAAAAAAAATCAGCATTTACTGAACAAAGTACTCATACGCTTTGCTTACGCTAAAAGTAAAATGACAATGAAGAACAAGCTATTACACTGTAAATTAAGTGTATCACAGTGACCTAGGGGACATACATATTTACGAAAGAAAGAATAGTAATTATGAGAACTTTTTATTAATACGTATATAAACTAAACCATTCTAGTCGTATAAACAATAGAGAGAATCGCAAAACGTGCCTATTTTATGAATTTATAATTAATAAATTCAATAAATTATTCTATAATTTTATTTGTAATTGTGCCATTTACTTATGGATCCAAAAACATAGCAATCGAATGACATGTTTAATAATATCTTAATAATAATTAAAAAATCTGTAAGAAATTATTTATCGCGAAAAATATTACCTTAATCAGAGATCGAACCTATCTTCTGCTTTTTGGATTATTTTATTCTTTGACTACTGAGACATGTGAGATTTAAATAATAATATGAAGAATGCTTACTAATGCCAACGTATACAATACATATATAAACTGAACTGTTTAGTCCGTTTTAGAATTTTATTATATGCAGAAAATTTTCACACATATTAAATTTATAAGATCAGTGCAAAGTCATCTTGTCATCGAGTAACAAAATTGTCGACATACTGGAATTAATTTCTTGTCATACAGAAAGTGTATTCATCACGATCATTTCGAATCAAAGTAAAATCATTTTGACTTTGGTGTGTTCCTTAGACACGTTTTCATCGTCAACGAAACAAACCGTTCAGCAGATCAATGAATAAAAAACATTTACATAATACTATGTAATGTATGTGTGTTGGTATTTGAGGTATTTCCTGAATTTTTCTTTATTGCTATTTTTATTTTATAAAAAAAGAAAATATTTTTATAAATATGCAAATTGTTCCAGCTAACCAAAAATTCCGCAAATATTTTGATGGAGCCGCTGCGATATATTGGAAAACTGTTACTCTGGTTTCTGCTGCGATTAATGTGGTTTACAAGTCAGTTTGTAAACTTGCCCGTTGGATATGGTAAATACCACTTCGATGAGGATGCACCAGCCCCGCCACCGCCACCAAAGCCTTATCTCTATCATTATCCTTGCGATCAAAAGCGAACACTCTATATGCTGAATATGTCAATTGCTATCAAAGGTATTACCGATCACTCCGACTATTGCTCACGACCTTTCTATGCTCAGAGAGTAAGTATTTTTGATAATTTTTACAACATTTTTACAATATTTTTTGGTAAAGTTTACAATAATGGACACTCTGCTGATTAGCTTAATTTTGATACATGTCAATCATGACAGTCTTAAGTAACATTCAAAAGATTTTAGCCATTGTTGTTTAGCCATTGTTTATTAAAAAATTATTAACAAATTAAGTTAATGATATGAGCATGTATATATGTCTTAATTTAAACTTTAATTAATATTATATAACGTAATACATAGGTTATTATTATTTATATATTTGTATATTTAAATATATAGTTGAATGAAAGAAAAATGCAACAAACAAGAAATATGTATGTCATGTTTATTTAACATGCTTTTTATGTTTATTCTATTAAATATAATAACTCAAACATAATATTAAAAAAAAGCTTTGATGTTGTTGATATTTTTTGTCAACTTTGAAATTATTATTCAAGAAAAAAATGAACTAATATACAGGTTTTTATAATTAATATTGGATTGTTTGAAAATGAAATTTTATAAATTTCTTGTTTTAATAAAAAAATTTAAGTAAATACTTGGACGAAGAAGCTCCTTCCTTGTCCTTCCAAAAAAATCTGTCCCAACACAACCCTAATTTTAATTTTAAATCATAAATAGAGCATTTCTAACTTAAACCTTTTTCTGATTTGAAATTAAGATTGGGTTAAGATGGGTTTTTCTAAGTTCCATCTTTCCCCTACTTACACGTACATTATATTTATTTATGTTATTATATTTATATATATAAATTACGCTCTTGAACACTGATATAAGTTATATTTCTAAACTTTTTTTTATTAATAACTTTTTAATAAACAACAAGCAAGGGCTGAAATCTTTTGAATGTTATTTATAGTCATGATCTTAGCAACATATGTAAAGGTTTAGTTGATCAGCGAGATACAAACTTATTATTTTAAATTATTATTATTGTAATAATTTTTTTTGTAACATTCATTATATCTTTCACTTAAATATGCTACTATATTTTTTCAATTTTATCTTATTTGAGATTGATAACATATTCATAATATTTACAGAATAAGTAAAACATTATTTTGCTGTTAATGTAAATATTGTAATTACATAGAAATAACATTGAATTTTTTATAAGTACCTCTTTTAAAATTTCCAATATCTTATTTTTAATTTCTAGTAAGTGCGATTTTCTAAATAGTTTTTATTAAATTAAAAATTTAGAAGTTTGACGTTGATGAAAACATGTTTACAATATAATATTTTTTTAAAAATCTTATAAAATTTTTTAAAATATTACTAATTTATTTATTCTTTAATTATTTTAATTTTTACTTTTAACTTTAAATGTAAACTCGAATGTAATTAATTAAAAAAATTTACGAAAAATTACAAAAAATTAATTTAAACAATACGTTATATACAATAAATTTTTAAAAATTTTGTTATCTGGGAAACTAATGTATGAACATTATTTCTCATACAATATACATGAATAATTAAAGATATGTATATAGTATGCAGTAGTTGCCGTCAATAGTTTTGAATCCTTATCTAATTTACAATGAATCGGCATAATATAAAGCGATTTTAACTAACAGTATAATAATTACTAGCAATTACTGAATAAATAAAATATTGAATTAATAAATCTTTGCTATCATTGAATCTTTTAACATTAGAAATAAGATTAAACCGATTCAGTCGGCAAAATGTTGGCAGACAATTTTGCAGATTTGATCAGAAAATGTTATCAAACTAATCTCATCTGAGATCAGTTTGCTAACATTTTCTGTCACGTTCTATGACAGAATCTGACAGAATCTGTTGATATTCTATGAGCAGAGCTTTGCTTTTTGCCACCAATCTGCCGTCATATCAGGCTCTACGGCTAATCTGTTGCATAGCATGTTAGCAAGCTTTATTTCTAACAGTAGTTTCTTGATATTGTTAGATTCTGATTATAGATTCTATTTGAAATTTATTATCTTCTGTCATTAAAAGTTAATAGCATACTTTGCTCAAAATCTATCTTTGGCTATCGGATTTAATGAGATGTTAATCCTTGATTTATTTATAACAAATTTATTTATAATAAATTAATGCTCTTTTCTATTTTCTTGTGTTCCTTTATTTCTAAATTTATAAGATAATGTTATACTGACATATTCATGCAATTGATTCATTGAATTAATTGAATTAATTGATAATAATTGATAAAAAAAAGATTATATGTACTATACTTATAAGTATTATATGAACTGTATATGTGTGTATGTGTATGTGTGCACATGCGTGATTACATAATTGAGAATTCTATTATTGTCAAGATCAAATAGTTTGAAGAAAAAAATCATCTCCAATAATTTACAGGTGACACATACTAATCTGCTGTTAGTCGTCGTCAATAGCATGTTTCCAACATGTTACAAGAGATTAGAAGTAACGCCCGTTAATATTTCACCCTTCGAGTACCCAAATAGCACGGGCGACAAACCCTGTCACAAGATTCCACTGAATGCTCTAAAAAGACGCAGATTGAATAATTGCTTCACGGAACATCCCCTAGAACACGAGATATACAGCTGCGGCGCATCTGAATTAACAGTGTCCTCATTGCTGTTGTATATTATTGTTGTTAAGATTTTACATGCCTTTATGCTGGCAAATGAATTATGATAACTGTATTGCCTTGCAATAGAAAAATAAAATAATGAAAAGTCAATAAAATATGATATAAGCAATATTTCTTCCCAAATTATGACTATAGACTAATAAAGAAAGAATAAATTATATCAGTTTTTTTTTATTTAAAAAATTAAATAGCACCTTCTAAAATATATAAACATTTTTATCAATTTTAATTTTAAGTATAGCTTAACATTAATTAATAGCATATATCTTAAGTTACAATACATTATTTATGTAGTTAAGAAATAAATAATTTTAAAGCGGAAACTTTTTCCTATCCTTCTTATAAATTTTTTTATTCAAGAACATTTTATCACTATTTTATATTCGAATTTTATATTGAAAATATAAAGGATAATTCACAACATCAACATCACTCATAAAAAATACAACATATACGAAGCAGTTACACATCAAAGACCTTCGATGATTTCTAATAGTAATAAACATATTGTTCAAAACAAAGATTTGCAATTTAGCACATAATAATAAGTCTTAATTCTCAACACCTCATCGATCCGCGATCAAATATTAATCTAAAATATATTGAAAAAGAAACGATGCTATCAGTTTTGGTCCTCGACAGTCAGCGTGGTTGTACGTTGTTCGCTCGTGCTTTCCGTGCGCAAGTCTGGCCAGAAAATCGATAAGCGAAAAGTGCTTATAGGCATCGAGCCTTTGTAGACCCCGTCGCCACCAAGTTAGTGAATACGCACGACGGCGACGACGACGACGACGACGACGACGACGACGACGGCGACGGCGACGACGACAACGACGACGTCGTCGAGGAGAACGACCATAGGCATTCTTGATGTGAAACGTGAACTTCAGTTTACCGTGTTTTTACACGCAAACAACTTCCCAAACATCGGACCAAGGTGACCAGCAGGTGGGAAAGTTATGAAGCCCTGCTTCACACCTGTCGTTATTGTCTTGATCCTGATCGAGGCTCCCAATTATAGCGACAGCATTAATAGCAATATGTACGTATCTCGTGGTCTATTATCTGACTGTCCTGTGTTTCTGTGACTTCTTAATAGGATATCCTTGATTTACGTAGCAATAAAATGAATCTTAAAATGATTATTCTCCTTGCGCGATAGTAAAAGTGATAAGTAATATTTAGGTCAAAGGTGAAGGACTGTGTCTCTTCATTGAATCGTCGTATGACAGCATGTTCTACGAAACGGTGTTTTTGGGAGAGAAAAGCGTTTTTATTTAAACATTTTTATTTCGTTTAATTATTAGATATTTGCTTCACGAAAATTATTACAGTCGTGTTTTATTGAGAATTAAATATAAACTCGATTATTAAATACTTTTAAATAATGCGATGTGATAAATTATTTTTTCGGAGAAAGTATTTTTTCGGAGAAAGTATATATTTTTTCTCGTATTCTCGTGGACAAGAATTATGATTCATATTTATCAATTCACTTTAAGAAATGGATTTCTTTTATGAATAAGATTACCGTCATTTCATTAGACTACTGCCGTATTCAATTAGCATTCATATAATATCATTGTCCGATGAACAAATTGCTTTCATCTATATTTTATTAGAATAAATTAATTATAAATTAATTATTCTTAACTTATTGCACTAATCTTGCCAAGAGAAAAAATAATTGTTGAAAAAGAAATAATAAAACAGTACAGATCTTTTATGAATAAAACAAAAGTAAAGCAAATATTTTTACCTCATGCTTTAATAAAAATTAAAATTATTATCTTATGATTATTTTACTCTTTTTTAATTGACAGATTGAAATTATGGGCGAACAAACTAGGCTTCGAGTTGTCGCAGTTGGGCAAGTACGTAACAAAAGTAGAGAGGTTCGAAGAAAGCTACAAGACGGCCGAAGTCACACCACGTGACGGAAATGCCCTCGTCCGCGAGATCGCTAAAGATATCAAAGCTATGATGGAGTCCAAAATCTCAGCTATCAAGGTGAGATCTTTCAATTCATTCATTTTATTTATTAAAGTTCTTAAGTTAATTAGTTAAACTATTATATACCTTCTTAAACTATAATAATAACCATCTTAACGCTCTATCATTACATCTCGTTTCTTTGAAACATAGTTCTTTGATTCTTTGAGACATGTCACAGGCTATATACGAGTTTGTATTTGCTCTCAGAGAATTATGGATGTGGCTGAACAGTCGGCGTTATCATCCCCAAACGAAGACCCGCCAGAATCTTACGAATTCATCGACGCGAAGAACAATTCCATTGACCTCGAGTACAGTTCCCAGTTTGGCGGTAGTGTGAATCTTAACATGTCATCGGTGCACGTGCCCACGAATGTGTACGAGCGTGCGTCAGAGGTCATCCGGGCGATTAAATGGTCCGAGGCCCTCGATCGCATCTTTATCAATAATTATGAGCAAGATCCGTCGTTATCCTGGCAATACTTCGGCAGCGCGACGGGTTTCATGCGTCAATATCCCGCCACGAATTGGTACATGGAGCCGGTGGACCTTTTCGACTGCAGAACGAGAAGTTGGTACATCGAGGCGGCCACCAGCCCCAAGGACATTCTCATCATGATGGACACATCCGGTAGTATGACGGGTATACGGCGGGAGATTGCCAGACACGTAATAAACAACATTCTTGATACCCTTGGTAACAATGACTTCGTCAACATCATCACGTTCTCCAATGAGACTAAAGAAGTAAGAATCAATCGAAAAATTCTAATTAATCTAAAGTATTAAAAAAAAAAATTTTAAATTAAATTAATAAGTAAACGACCAATGTAATAAATAAATATGAGATAATTGTTCTTTGAAATTTATGCTCTTTAAGTTAATAAAATTACTAAACTTAATTGATACATTTGCAGGTAGTACCATGCTTCAACGATATTCTAGTTCAGGCGAATCTGGCAAATGTGCGTGAGTTGAAACAAGCCATTTCGCAACTCGAAACGGAAAGGATCGCCAACTTCTCTCTGGCTCTGACAACCGCTTTTGAACTACTCGAGTCATTCCGCACCGAACGAGAGGGTGCCAGATGCAATCAGGCAATCATGCTGATCACTGATGGTGTACCGTACAATTACGAGGAGATCTTTGAGGCATATAACTGGAAGGACAATCCGAAAGAGCCGCTGAAAGCCGACATGCCCGTAAGAGTATTTACCTATCTGATCGGTCGGGAAGTTGCGGACATGCGGGACATGCATTGGATGGCTTGCGCCAATAGAGGATATTACGTGCATCTGTGCACTCCGGCGGAAGTAAGAGAGGAGGTCAGTGAAGCGAGATTACTTTTAACCCTGACGAGCCTAAAACAATTTTAAGTCTCAAAAAAATTAGTATTAAAACTTTAATTTAAACTCATGATGTTCCGAATTATAGGAAAATGAGCATAGATGACGAAAAATTTTCGCAAGTTCGAACCGTTGAAAAACCTATTGCATTATAACGACCTATAGTCCAAGTCATTATTAATCTTCTATTAGGTGTTGAAGTATGTACCGGTGATGGCAAGGCCCTTGGTGCTGGGACGCACGGACCACCCGACTGTCTGGACGCCTGTCTACGCCGACGTGACAGATCCGAAGATAACCGACTGGAAGTGGGAACAACGCGAAAGCGAGGAGCAGCAGGATCGTTTGCTGTTCTACCATAAGTATAAGAAGTATATGAACATGGAGGAGCAGGATCGACGATACATACAGCAGATGCGGTACGATCAGACCAGCGAATTGCAGGAGTACAAACTAATGACTTCGGTCAGCATGCCAGTGTTTGATCGACGCGAGAACGCGGTAAGATTTCTATTCTCACGTTATTTTACGTATAACGTCCAAGTCGGCCGACAGAAGGGTGACAATCGTTCGTCCGTGCGTTGTCGATAAAGGACAGCCTAAAAATTTAATTAAGTGTAATTAAGATCCTCCCTTTACATTGAAACAAAATAGCAGTTCTCTTCAGCAATCACTGTCAAATATCGCTCACTTTTTTCTTTATGTTGTCTGTGCTTTCATACGCTTTCACATTCTTCGCAACATTTCTATAAATTCTCTAATATCTCGAATGCATAAATGTGATTTCTTTGATTACCCAAGTACGGCAAAAGTCCTTCGCGAATCATGTTTCTTTGAGGTATATTCACAATGCATTTGCTTCGGTTTTAAGTTCCTCTTTGTCCACAGAACATCACAAGGCAGGTGCTGGTGAACGAAGCGTACTGGGTGTCAGAGACAAGAGAGGTTGGCAGCTAAACAAAAAACTCAAGCAACATTGTTCTATGATGCATATAGTACATCCTGTATCTTTATCTTTCGTTTTCTTGCGATCAACCTACGATCTCATCTTTGCTATTGGCCGCTTGTTTAAATTATTAGACTCATCAATCTTTAAAAAATATTTGTTTTAAAATAATGTTAATTAAATAATATTTTTAGTAAAAAAAATTTTTCGATCTAATATTAGGGAGTGGATAAAAAATATAACCATGTTGTTGAAACGAGATCGTAGATGCGCATAGATCTCTTTTAGGTCCACATTCGACTCTCTGGTATCTTATGTTGATCTCTAATGCTAGTTATTGGGATTATTTCAAGTCATTAGGTAGGTTTAGGTACATTAGTCTACCCTGTGTCCTGTCGAGACGAGTAGAAAAAAAGGCAAAGTTCTGCCCGCCTGTTGGATTGCGTACGGCGAAAAATAATATTCTCGTAAAGATTGATTCGTAGAGATCGTTCTGCAGTGACTACTACATATCTATATAATGAGAGAGAAAAGTATTAACTGAAGGAGCAAGCAAATAGACTTTGTTTAAAAGAAGATCTTTATTTAAAAAGAAGATGTAGTTAATGAAATTAAAGTAATTGTATCTTAAAAGATTATCTCTTCTTACAGAAAATTTTACAAGAAAATCGAATTTGAAAACATAACGAAAGAATAAATATTTATTTTATGTAATTATAAGACAATAATTATTTCTTCTAAGCACTTGCTCCTTTTATCACAAGTAACAGCAGGCACGCACGTACACGAATAACACAAATTTTGGCAGTTTATTGAGTGCTAGATTTCGTTAGTCAGAGACATTCGTAGATCTAATTCGAGCGACGACCTCTCACATTTATCTTAATTAATCTCACATATACACATACATATACTTCTGTGATGTCCAAACTAAATGAAAATTTGATCTCGCGTGCTTGCAATCGATATCATTTCCATATATCATATAAATATAAAATAATTTATTGAATTTTTCTTTCGAAATTGCAAAGAAAAGACAGAAAGGTCGTCACTTTGAAAGAACGGAGCTAATTGTTACTTGAACTAACACTTAGGGTAGCCTGCGTCCAATGTTGTTAATTTAATCATAGAAAGAATTTGTTGTTTAATTATTATAGAATTTTCATTGTGTATCGTTATTATTATTATTATTATTATTATTATTATTATTATTATTATTATTATTATACACACATATTGGAACAGTAGTTGAGCTAGTTATTACATCTAATCGCAAGAAATTCACACTTTTTTATTACTTGTCCCTCTCGCGCGCAATAAACATTTCTAAAGTATGTTGCTAACCATTGTTTTATGAAAACTTTTAAAAAATTTTGCAGTCTCTATTTTATGTACAATTTGCAATAATATTGAATGTCATACTAATAACTTGAACAAACTTAATATTCATGTTTCTTGAACGAAGATTGTGTTAATATTGTAATACTGAAAATCAAGTCCATGTTCATTATTACACACGCGAGGGGTGATTATTTTTTATATATATGGTTTTTTGATATCAAAACGTGTTTATGTAGACGAACTCATTGTGATAGAACGTTGTTGGAGAAGGTAGATACGCTTCTGGTTATGCGACTTGAGATGATGATAATTCGTAATTTATTTCGACATAATAACGTTGTCATGATATGATAGACGCGTCACGCAATGCGACATAACGCAGGTTCTTTAATTAACGTATTAATAATTTTCTGCGCAGACGATGATCGCCAATCTCCTTGGTGTGGCCGGCACGGATGTACCAATCGAAGAAATCAAGAAACTGATGATTCCTCATATGGTAAGCAATACTGTATCTTATATATTTTTATATTTTATTTTACAACAAATTTATTATTAGCAATTAACTATAAGCAATTATAATTAAATAAATGTAGATAATATTGATTCAGAATATTAATATTCAAAATATAATATTATAGGGTCAAGATTTATAAATTGACGATTAATTAAGAATTAAAATAAAAATTAATTAAAATTAATTGAAACTAAATTCAGTGAATATAAAAATCAATTAATCGAAACCTATTATTTTTATATGTATTTTTCTAACTTTTATCGTCTGAGGCTCTTATTGATATAAATCATAAAATTATAAAATTATAAAGATAAAATCATCGATAATAAATATTACGTGATTAAGCAATATGATATTACAAAAAATAAATAAAACACTTAAATGATGAGTCAAATGCCTCTTTAGATACCGAACACGACGAATCTATTAAGAAGAATGACATGAAAATGCTATTAATATTCATTATATCCTTTATGATGGCGATAATGCATCAATTGACGTTGACAACAAATGCAAATCACGATAATCTTCTCTTTCTTTTTCCTGTGTGAGAGCAGCTCGGCGTCAACGGTTATGCTTTCATCGTGACCAATAATGGTTTCATCCTGATTCATCCCGATCTCCGACCAGTGGTAATGTTTTTTTTTAATTATAATATCGTATTTAACATTTTTTCGCGTATACATATTTGTATCTTAATATAACACGCTTACGTTATATGAAATTTTACTATTTTTTTATTACATTGAATTTTTGACATAACAAAATAAAAATAAACGTAAATAATATGCGTGTAAAAATAGTTTCAGGGTATTTTAAAGCCAGCGTACAATAGCGTTGATATGGCGGAGGTTGAACTGATGGATAATGATAAAAATCCCAGAGAATTCGACGAAGGAATCATCATGGTAAATACGAAAAAAAAAAAAGAATCAATAAAGTTCTTTTCTAAGTTTCTTTTCTTTTCGTAAATTTCAATAATTTCTATTTGATAATTTTTGTAATAAAAGTAGAACATGAATGACACGCTTTCAAAGTTTGAGCAATATCGTGAAATATTACACGTGCAGTCGGCAATTAATAAATTATTACATTAGTGTTGCATTTTCCACAGTTTCGCAACGATGTAGTAAATCAGATAAATGGTAGCGTGACACTTCATACAAAGTATCATTACGATGACATGGTGAGTACATTATCTCAATATTTAACATTAAGTATCCATAAATGTGGATAAAACAATTTACACAATGACGATCACAATTTTTTTACAATGATGATTAAAGAACTCTCAATATTCTCGTTTTACCTTCAGAGAGCAAATGATATCAAAGATAATAATGTATAATAGTAGTACAATATTCTTAAAACTCGATGTTTTTTTTTTTTTTTTCATTATATCGTTTTATCACTCAAATTGTTCATAAAAAACAGCTTTAATTTGAATTCACACGTTCCTATTCGTTTATGTAGAAATTTGAACTTCTTGCATTTCTGAAGAAATAAGAAAACTTTAATGTGAAATCATGTCTCATGTTTAATTGATATGTTCACCTGTCTAGAAACGTGTCGGCAGAGTAAAAAGGAAATACGATTACACGGGAATAATGAACACACCGTTCACGGTAGTGGTCAGTTTGCCCGAGTACAATAACGCTGGAAGTTACCGGGTGCATGCTACCGAGGAAATACATCGATCTCACGTTAAAGGTACGTATTTCAATTCTGACAAGCTATCTTGCAGCGACGAAAGCTTCTAATATAATGTTATCGAACTATTTAATTCGAACAATTAAATTAATTGTTTTCAGTGACATACATTTTCTTGAAAATACTACTAGTGGTCCGAAATTATTTCATGCAGAATGTTGAGTATTGTTATTTGAACTGCAAATCGCACAGGTAATGAAAAGATCTGAGACTCCTGCTGGTTTACCGCAGTTTTTTGAACTGTCACCAGGAACGAGAAAATATTAATGAAAATTCTTGTAAAATAAATAATGATTTGTTTCGATAAAATAACGTTTTCACTTGATAGAACAGACTTATAAAGTATATTGAAAACTTTTCTTTCAATTCCTTTCTAAAAAAAAGATATGACATCAATTACTCGCATCTCTCGAAGTTTATTATTGTCGCTAATTGGTTCTCTCGCTGCGCTAACTTGTGAGTAGCTATCATTGTATTGATCTCACAGCAAGGATCGTTTTTGACAATTGTGTATTAGGAAGTTAAAAATATTGTTATGTTAGATGAGGCGCTTCGCTTTTTCTCCATACGGCGGCTCGACTTCATTCGGCCGCTGAAGCTATTATATTAATTTTTGCTCTTGTGTTGAAAAAGATAAATGGCTCACGCCAGTGCGATTGTAATATCTGCTATAAATTTTTGATGTCCCGAAGGTAACAAATTCAACACATACGAATACGAACGAACTGACGGCAGAAATTAAGCAGAATTTATAACGATTTGATAGCAGATTGACAACAAAACTGCAGATTTTATTGTGGGTAGTTGTGGGCATTTTTTGGTGACAAAATCTATTCGATTTCATATCAATTTGTTGCATATCAACAGACTTTGTCGACAAATCATGATTTTAATGCGAAACAGATTGCTATGGATTTAAAATCGAATTTGCTGCCAGTGAACAGATAGCTTTTTACTATATAGGTGGTTATTAATTACTAAAATGAAAGAAGAATTTTCGATATATTTTGCAAATCTGTTTTATTAAGTACAAATGTAATTTTATTGAAAAAAACATTTCTATTTTAATGTGTTTTCCAAGAATTTTCATCAAGTGTTTTCTTGTTTCTGACTTTATAATTCAAGATGGCTAACGTGAATCAGTAGGAGCTTTAATAATGAGTGACTATAGAAATTTTTACAAACAAATAGGCACAAACAATATTTCTTCTTCTTAAGTATCTTATTTTATACAAGTTATAGGCATACAATGATTAAGCAAACTACAAAGTTTTATTATAAAGTTTTGACTCTGTATGCAGTTCAGTTTGAAAAATGTTCGTGAGTTTTGTGTTGCATTAATTGTGAAAATACCTAGAGTTTCCAATAGAAAATGTATTTCTGCAGAAAGTTATATCTCATAAATATTTTCATGTTAATAATAATGTTAATTTTTGTCATAAATTCTAGGAAATATCTACGATATTTATTACGTCTGCAATTTAATTAACGTCAAGTTTATTGTTACAGTGTTATGAACAATTTCTAATTAACTCAAATAATAACTGAATATAAAACAATTTTTTTCAAGCAAAAATTGCGGTTGATCATTAGTTCTATTTTTACGGCTACAAATTTTATACTTATAAAATTATAAATATAATTATAAGTAAAATTATAAGTATTACAATTAGTTATACATTTTTATTTATACACTTTTACTCATAATGACGAAAGCGCGACAATGGCGCAAAATTACTGCTATATTGCATCCAAAGCTTAAACTTATATTTAAAATGATAACAGTTTCAATTTCTGCTTCGGACGCTAAATTAAATATCTTTTCCTTTTTTACTTGTTCGAGGCTTTCGTCGCTGATTTCGATCGTCTATGTCAAATTTGAACGAATTGAACTATTGTAGGGAAAAACGTGACAGATTACTTCGCGGGTCATAACTGGCGGGTGCACCCCCATTGGATGTATTGCAAGTAAGTCTTATAATAATTCATCATGAGATTTATTTCTTTTAACTGTAACTAAAATTAAATTTAGATATAACTAAAAAGAATAGGTCTATAACTACTAGAACTAATAGAAATGGAAAAATCCCGTGGGCTTGCCTATACGAACCTTTTGTTGCAAATGTTAGGTATCATTACGAGGGTGAACACAGGTTCAACACCTCGGAGTTGCAGCTCCTACACTTTCTGGAGCGTACCCGCCTGCCAGGCTGGAAGTGGATCGATATGAAGCAACGATCCCAACCGCCGGAATACTCCGCTACGAATTCCAATTTTAGCCCTCATCGTAAGTCTTTTTGTCTTTTTGCATTCGACAAAATTATTTTCAGCTATATTAAAATTAATTAGAATATACTTAAAATTCTTCATGTTTCACAGCAAATTCTTACAAGGCCGACAAGAACTCATACTATTGTGACAGAAATCTGCTGCTCAGTTTGGTATACGATGCTAAGGTAACCGAATGGTTTGCTCAGCAAACCTCAACAAATCCCAACGCCCAAGGAGGGTGAGTATATTTTTAATTTATTAATCAATATAAGGATATTCTACACAGCATAACCAGACTACTGGGAAAAACGATGAATAAATTTCCTTTTCCCTGTTATTCATGTAAACAAGTGTACGATTAATCAGTCATGAATCTGAAATTAAATTAATTATTACATTTATTAAAATTAACAACATTTTATTGTTGTATGATGTTGATTTATAAAAAGAATTACCAATCAGAATTCTAATAAAAATTTAACAGAATTAAATCCGAATTTATAAAATTAGAAATAGCATAAAAAATTTTTGTAAAATAGAATATAAAAAATGAAACATAAATGTGGAGCAAATAAAAAAAGATCGAACGATTAATCGTTGCTTGACGCGTCTTTAGGACGGAGATCACTCTTTCTCTATCACTGTTTCCTTCTCTATCAGAAAATTAAAATTTACACGTGCTCACTTTTACACACAAAACACTCCGTCCCGTGTTTTATTTTGTTTCTCTATTTTACGCACAGTTATGTTTTTCTATTTCTCTTGTTTTTCTTGTTTCTATGAGGATAAAAGATTCATCTGTTCCTTTGAACTAATGTACTTACCACTTTGACGCCATGCAGACCTTTAGCTAGGCTGATGAATCAGATGCCCAGGTAACGCCATCACAACGCACCTTACATTCTTAGAAAATAACTAATTAACTTTCAACTGTTCGTCATATACTATATAATGCCGGCTTTCCCTATCTTGTTTTTCTCTTCTAGCTCTATTTTTCCCTCTCTCTTTCTCTTTCTTTCTCTTTCTCTGTCACAGAATATGTTCAAATTTTTTTTACCTTCCATCTTTTCTGTCTAGAAATTTACATTTATTATCTTCTTTATAATTGCAAAAAATTCTTATATTGACTTTTACAAACGAATTGGCAGACTTATATTTGTTATAATTCTTCTTAAGTTAATTCGCTTCTATTGTAAAGTATTTGCTCAGTATTTATTCCTATTAATATAATCTTATCTCGTTTCTGCTTGTTTCTTCTTATTTGTATTCTCTTTTCGTCTTTCGACACTGTGAGGTCGGCGCAAATTAGCCTGCAAGTCGCCGTAGGGCAAATGTCATCTTCCAGAAAACAAAAGCCTGAAGAGGAGGAACGCTTTGCGAGCAACACTGCAAAAGCAAGAGGACTTTCCCGATGTGCAATTGATTGATTGCTTTATAATAGTGTCTTCAAAAATATATGTTCATTTGCGTCATGTTTCACAAAAAGACAATTCTCTTTTTTGTTAAACATTTTATAATACAATTATCTTATTTTATTATTTAATTAATCCGATAATTAAGCTAATAAAAAAATAATGCTAAAATCGTGTTTTACTTTTAACAAATTATATTGATTTTTCATGAACAATAATTATTCGTAGTCGTGAAATCAGAATAAGAAGATAGTTACGATAATCTCTTATTCTTTTTTACTTGATTCTTCAAATTCTAAACAAATGACGCAAAGGAACTGTGAGCTTGCATATTGCGAATTTAAAGAATCATATAAGTCGTATAGGTGTATAGCTAATGTATATTTTTAAATGATTCCTGTACGAAAGACTGAGTAAACGCTAGTTCAAGTCGTAGACGATCCGAATCACTATTTCTGAAGTGTTTTTCTTTTCCCGTAGGAAGCAATTCAATCAACGTTTTGGAGTGGTCCTAGCCTTTGTGGCCACACATAGCGGGCTGACCAGATGGCAGGATTATCTTCTAGTAGACGAGGATATGCCATTACCGGATAATCATTTTAGCAAGCTGTACCCTCGTGCCATTGACGAAGTGTGGTACAAACGAGCAGTCGAACAATACTACGTAAACCCGGACAGCTTCGTCTTTTCCGTGCCAATCAATGACACGGGTGCCGACAACACCACTCTAGTCACTGCCAGTCGTGCTGTATTTGTCGGTAAATCGACATTCAAGTCTCCTATCAAATTAAAAAAAGAATGTATTTCTTCCAAACATAAATTTATCATCTTGTCTATTTTTAAAAATTTCATCAATAGCTCAAGATAAAAGCGTCCAGAATTATCATGTCAAGTAATAAATTGTTATCAAATGACAACACTTTTACTAACGTTTTACTAACGTCTTAATAACTTCTAATGTTAATAAAATGTCATTGAAACGTCACTGTTATTTGACATTACTTTGTTTATTTAGGAATCATAAAATTTGTGAAATATCAAATAACATTATTCCAAATATTTGTACAAATTTAAGCTCTCAGATATTAAACTTTAACGCTATGGGAGGATTTAAATTAACATAATCTATAATTTAAGTTGTGTGTATAGCAAAAAAAGCATATATTAAATCTTGAAAATAAATTTGCAGAAAAGAAAGCACCGGCTGCGGTGGTCGGCTTCCAATTTCAGCACACTGCCCTTCAAGCGCTTTTTCAAAATATAACGTTTAACTGCCCTGTTGATGGTAAATGTCGGAAGCACTGCGGTGATGATGATTGGGCATGTTATCTTATCGATAATAATGGATACGTAATCGCTGCCGAGGACGAGGTGGACGCCGGTAGATTCTTCGGCGAGATCAGAGGTCCGATAATGGACAGTTTAGTCAAAGAAAATGTCTTTGAAAGGATAAGAATCTTCGATTATCAGGCGGTGTGTTCCAAGAATACAAGAACCAATAATGCCGGCAACTCCCTTCTTACCGTAAGCACTTTCTATTGCGATAATAATATTATTCATCAAGAATAGTAGTCAAAGAAAAAAATTGAACAAAATATGTTTTTAATATATTCTCTATAACAATTATAACCAATCTTAAGCAACTTTTGAAAGGATATTAATTTCTTGATGATACAAAAATCAATGTTACTTTTTCAATTTTCTTTCAATGAAGAAATATAAGTAACAAAAACCTAACGATTATTATGTTCATTATAATGATTATTATGATTAAAATATTATAATTTATAATGATTAGACATTACAAATATATTTTGCGCGCGCTGCGCACGCGCTATTTATCTTTTTCAATACAAGAGCAAAAATTAATGTAATGCTATTATACTACTGTTACACTATAATATTTTTAACTTCTTGATATACAATTATCAAAACGATCCTTTGTGAGATCAATGACAGCTATTAGCGCAGCGAGAGAATCGGCATTGTGGAAAAGCGTCAACAATAAACTTTGAGAAAATTTCAAGAGATACGAGCATCGATCTTATGCCTTTTTTTTAGAAAGAATATATATCAAAGATTTATCTGTTAAATAGAAAAAAATATTATGTCGCAGCCATGGAAGCACTTCCAGAAAACAATGTCGTGGGTAATCAGTCAAGCTGCTTGGGCTTGGGCGAAAACGGGAATAATGGATTCCGATCACGCGGAAGCATATGGCTACATTAGCGACGATGAATCAGCTATTCATGAAGATGATCACGACAGCGAGGAGAAACCTCTGCCAGTTGATTCAAAGGATGAAAGATTTTTTGATCCAAATATTTGGTTAATCAACCGTACGCGTCCAGAAGTATGCGATCAAGAGGTGAATTTGAATTTAAAAGTTATACATTATTATATTAAAATTACGGATTATAATTGTATCAAATATAATTTTATTTAAAAAAAAATTGATTAAAAAAATTGAATGATGAAAGAATTGTAGATGTCCAGAGAACATTTGACATCTCTTAAGAATGTTCTAAAAATTTTAAGACATTTTTTTAGACATTTTAGACATTTTAAAATTATCAGAAAGACATCTTATAGATATCTTAAAAATTATCTTAAAATTATCAGAAAGAGATCTTATAGATCTTATAGATGTCCCATTTTTTATGTCATTGAAATGTCTTATAGACATCTTATTTTTTTATGTCTGATTTTTGATGTGTTATAGTCATCTGTAAGATGATTAAAAAGACATCTTAAATTTTTAAAATATCTTTAAGACGTTTTAGATCAGAATATTCTCTGGGTAAATGATTCCAATATTACATAACTTTTATATAACTAATTATATTATAGTTATTTCTTTGGCATTTTAATTAATAATTGTATTAAAATAATATTTAATTTACTTTCATCTTTGAGTCTCCCATTTGGAAAGACTTCATTTAAATAAAATCCCATGTTAAGAATTCACTTCAAAAAATCATTTCATTAGAAGAGATAATAATTTGATAATAATTTGATAAGAAATAATAATTTGAGATAATCTCACAATATTGTGCCTTCTATATCTTATATGGTTTTTATTTACGAGAAATAAAATTCCATCTAGAGACATCTAGTGATATCTGCCGCATGCTAAATTAATCTTAAAGACATTCTAAAAGAGATGTTTGTAAGACTTGACTAAAAAACGTCTTTTAATAAAGTTTTAAAGATGTCCTCTCTTTTAAGATGTTGGACGTCTTTCAGACATACATGTTCTCTAGGCTAATATTAATACATCTAAAAGTTTCTTAACAACTAAAATATTTCTAAATAGACTATTTCTTCATTAAAATTCAATGTTTACATATCGAATTTACAGGTACACTTATACACGCGCAACACCTCATTCGATGCATTCGATGCGTTGGATGCGGATGATTGCGTGAGACCGTACATGGTGCAGCCGGTGGGTCATAGCAATATGCTGCTAGTGGTGGTGAACAACATGTGTTCTGAAACAACATTTCCACTGTTGCGCGTCAAGCCTGAGGAGGTGATCTATGGGAACAACACGCTAGTTTGCCAGAAAGCGCTCGCTGGTCTCAAGCGAAAGCGACCACAATCCTGTATACGTTCGAACCCTCGCGAAAGCGAAATCAAAAAACAGTGTGGCCTGGCAACAAATGCCAGATCGAATTTGCTCCTTTTAATATTATTGCTGGTGTGCGCACTAAAGGGCAGGAGTATTTTCCTCCTCGGCTAAAATCAAGTTGATTTCACAGCCAATAATCAGTGTCAAATTAGTCGACAATGAAATTCACAATTCAATACGTTGCAAATAGAACAGACTCTTGCCTGACCGAGCGTGGATATTTACTAAATTGTATACCAAATTGTCTTATTCGGCGACCGGAATTGCTATATGGCACAGATTTGAACAATTCTCCATTTGATTATTCATTGATTTCTCCAATCAATGAATTATTCGTTTCTTCGCAAGGAATCATAGCTACATTTGATTTGAAAGAAAAAAGAAAAACCTAAATAAAAGGAGAATGTAAGGCTGATGTCCCATGGCGCGGAAATCCACAGCGGAATGGAATGCGCGAACCAAAAGTAAAAGAACGTCACAGTAAAAGAACGAACAGAATAAACGAGTTTTCTTTTGATTCCTTCGCTGTGATTGGTTTGCGCGTTCCGCTGGATTTCCGCGCCATGGGACACCAGCCTAATAAGCAGAGAGAAATGATGAAAATAACTAACTTTTCCTCTTTTTCCAAAATATGTTTTTTTGTATTAATTATATTTCGTGATTCTCCAACTGTACATCAAGTCTGTACATGAATGCTTTGAGATATTCTGTGCTCTCTATTTTCTCTTAGTACTTTAAATTTTTTGTGTGGGCGCAGAGATGAATTGTTCTATATGACGTTCTATTAACGTGTTATCCGATCCTGCCCGGTACATCCAGTTTCTACGCGAGTAATATGATCAATCAAATGTGGCGAACGCAATCGATATCAAAATGTGTGCTAAGATACAAAATTGTCCTCCATCGTCATCGATTGTCAATTCAAATTAGATGATCAGAATTAAATGCGCTTAGCGTAGAATCGTTCGCTAACACATTTTCGATCATCCCATTTTCGACGTAGATAGGACAAGTGAATGGTATGAAATGGCTCTGGATATATTATAGAAGCAATGTAGGCAGTTTAAATAACTAACTCGTTGAGATGTAGATTTTTCTAGCTGTCGGAGCAGGGTCACGTATTCACATGGTACATGTTTACACTACGATGTACGTGCTTTTGTATATTATAAAGTGATTGCGGCGCAAAAAAGCGACGCGTCATATCTACAAAAGATTACGAAATGTTAATTTTGTATCGCTGTATCATACTGAGATGCGTGTATGTATGTGTGTATGTAAAAAGAAGTGTGTGCCTTTGTACACGCGATTAAGATAAAAAGAAGAAGAAGGAGGAATACAAGGTCTTGTTGTATGTTTATCGAATAAATATCGAACGTTCTATATATTATCGCTAACTCTAGCTCTCGAATGATGGCCTCGTCGTGAAAACGAGTTCCGTTCGAGGAACGGGGGATGTTGTTTGTATTACATAGAGTTTATTACAATTTGCTATGTACAGCTTGCCTATGTAAAACGAGGATGTTTTCGTATCAAAATAACTTTTCAAAAGAAGACTAGACTTTACTTAAACCTCAATTGCGCCTCCAATCGTTTCGTTATTTCTAGTGTATTAACTTTTTTGCATACACACGTATTCCTGTCTCTTTTTTGGTTTCTCTATTGCCTTTCTATTCCTTAAAAAAATATTTCCTTGAAAAAAAATGATTAAAAACTCTATTTTAATTAATATTTCTATGATGATTATTAATTGTTTAATTTTATATCTAATCACATATCATTAACTGTTTTTAAATTGAAAGTGAAAGTCCCAATGCACCTGTTTGATAGCAATACCAGTACAATTTAAATTTAGCGCGATTATTATTTGTCACTAGAGGCGCGATCCAGGGTGTGAAGGGAAAGATGTCCCGATCAATAGAAACTCATACAGCTATCCTATTGGTTGAAATATTATCTTAAATGGGTGCTTTCCATTTAATGACGCAAGTCGACACAAGTATCATTCTATCTTTCTTGACTTTCAATGATTAACAAGGACAAAATGCTACTTGTGTCGACTTGTGTTATTAAATGGAAAGCACTCAATATAAGAACTGACTATGAATATCGGTCTTAAAGATGTTTCTTAAAGTCCGGTCTACAATAGATGATTTAAGCCTTAAGCCATAAGAAATGGACAAATCATAATCAAAGAATAGGAGAATAATCAACTATGATTGGATGATGGGTCCTTGTTAATCATTGAAAATCAAGAAAGATAGAATGATACTTGTGTCAACTTGTGTCACTAAATGGAAAGCACCCATTTAAAATCGTCTTAAGATAATATTTCAACCAATAGGATAATTGTATAAGTTTATTTAAGACAATCTTAAATATAAGGACTGACTATGAATATCGGTCTAAAATATTTCATAAAAAACTCTAAAGAACTCTAAAAGATCTTGAAGTTGTAACGGTACGTCCCTGCGCGGTCGGTGAAGGTACTGAAAGATATTTATTAGATTCGAAAAAATAAACGGAGACGACTGGATTTGAACTCGGGATTCCTCGTTTACTAATCTGACACTTAGTCTGCATGACCATGACGGCTCCTCTCTGTTAGTTGTTTATATTCCGAATCTCTTTCATGACCGCTTACGGTCGTCTAATTCTTACAGTACGGTATGGGAGCGAGAACATAGTTCGGGAGCTCGGAAGTGCTTGTCTGATGCCAAGGTTCGGTTTATAGAAGAAATCACGATGTTTGAGCTTGATTAAAAATAAATTAACAATTATTTGCAGCATTTATTTTATGAGATGTTAACATAAATCGCTTTTTATCAGTGGCGTGACGCCGTTCACATATGATTCGAAATATAAACAGCTAACAGAGAGAAGCCGTCGCGGTCGTGCAGATTAAGTGATAGTAAGCGAGGGATCCCGAGTTCAAATCCAGTCGGTCTCTGTTTATTTTTCCGAATCTAATAAATATCTTTCAATACTGAGAAATACGCTCGGTATTCTGGTCGGAGCGGAAAATCTTTCCTTCCGACTTTTCGGAAAGAAGGACGAGAAGAATATTGAGAACACTATTACCCTCGTATCGGTCGGATCGGATCGGAGTATCGGAGCGAACGGGTCGGATGGTCGGATGGGACTGGATCCTTTTGTCGAAATTCGCGCTGGGTTTATATACCCATTTTTGCGCTACATATTAACGCGTGATTTATTAAAAATTATTTAGCAAAACTGCTGATCTGTCATGCCGTTGGCGCGTGATAGATCAGCGGCGCGCGTGTATCGCTCGGTCGTATTCGGGAATGTTCGAGCGGCCCCGGACGGTGTAGGTCGCACATAACATTTATATTTATATACTAGACTAACTTGCCTCAAATACATGGCCCCGAAAAGCATGTACAAAAGCATGTACAACACATGCGTATGAAGTAAGGCGGCACGCATGCGTATGAAAGTCTTATATATGTTATATATACCGATACACGAATTTTATATATATTTGAATAACAAATATGTAATGTTTTTTTATTCTTTTCAATAATTGTTATAGCTTTTATTCATTTCTTGAAGAAAAAAGTTTCTTTAAATAAAAATTGTTACTTGTGTTTTTTAGAAATATATATGTATATATATTACAAAGTATTTGGTCATGTGAAATAGGTATATATATA